TCGAGCTCTGGTGGGGCTACAGTGAAGTCGTCAATAATATCGACGACCGCTTGAGCGCTCTCTTTCGCCAAAGTAGCAGCTTTCAACACACCGGAGCTGGCGTCTGAGGAGGCCATTGTGACAGAAGTCCAGCGGGGTTTCTCAAGATATAGATGAGGAAAGGAATGCGTGACCCAGGCCGCAGAAATGCAACACAAGACAAGCAATAAGCAGCATCAGGCTAGGGCGGTCTTGGATGGCAGAATCCCACAGCGCTTGCATGAGAAACTAGGCCTGTTTGATGCTTCGAAGCAATCAGGAGTCGAAGAGCAAGACATTCAGGGTTTGTGAGCAAGCCACCAACACACACGCACACCCACACAAGTCGATGTCGGCGCCTAGAAATTATAGATACCAATTGGCGTCGTGGAATGACTGGAGGTAGCTTGAAAGAAGACGGTGTTGGTCGGCCGGAGGTTTGTTGTTAGTGGTGTTGGTGGTGGTGTTGGTTCTCTTGGAGAAGGTGAACAGCAGCAACCAACACATTTCAACCCCCAAAACCCCGCCATCTACACAGTCACACCATATTCAAGACCTCCGTTAGACCTAAAGCTTAACCCACGTTTATCCACGCGTCTCCATTCCGGCGTCTCGCCGTTGGTAGATACACATGGCCACTTAGACGCTGCCTGCCGCAATCTGAGACACCAAAGCGCTTGTTTAAAAGCAAACAAAAGTGCACATCGTAAACACCCGCGCTTAGTAGGTCAGTTCTATTGATCGAGACGAGTTCGTCGAGCAAGGGACATCGGAAACAAACGAGAAAAGGGTCCAGGCCTTGTTCCCAAAGGGTTCACACATCAAACAGCACTTCACCAACACGACTGCCACTAGCGGGAGCGTCCTCATCCAGGGCATTGTGATTGGAGACGTTCGATTAGACCGTAAGTCAAGTCTTGGCTTCCTCGCTATTGACGATCCCTTGCCTAATGCTGGTACATGGTGGGCAGGCCCTCCTCGGCTTCCCGGAATAGACTCAACAGACGCTCTTGGGCCAGGGCCAGGGCCAGAGACGGACTTCTTGTCCACTCCCGGGCCCTTTCCAATGTGCTCCGAGGTCCCTCTTCACTCTGCGGAGAATATTCCATCGCGAGGGTGCAGAAACAAGTCGTCATGTGGCAGGATTGGATTTGGCACGTCAATTCGAGGTATAACATGAGTGGGAAGCAACACAATGCACGTCTTGTCGGCTCGAGTCAACTGTGAAGCCCGTACATGCATAAATTGTACTTTCCATTGCTCTTGCTTGGAGGCACAGCGTCTCGCAGATTGCGTACGCATGCTTACCATGATGCATACCGTGGCGTGCTTCTTGCATGGACATGTGGAAGATGGCAATTCGAAGGCCAACTCGCATTGCGCCGCTTCCTCGAGTGTAGATGGCCCATCGTCAGCCAAGTGAGAAGACGCTGAGCAAGCCTCAACATCTCGATTAGCCATTGACCACTGGCCTGAGAAGGCCGTCTCACTGGAAAGAGCCTCATGTTAGGCGGCCGTATTTTCAATGCAACCCAACACTGACATCACGACGTGCGGGGTTCTGGCTGTGCATGTCCGCGGATGGCCTCACCTTTTTGGTTGCGGAGGATTCATTGGATGGGTGCTCGGCACGACTCCAACGAATCTGCACCTCACGTCAGAATCCCCGAGTTTTGTTGCTTTGTGCTGCACTGAGACCAGGCAGCAGTGCGCTTGGCTGCCTCGTGAGGCTGAAACACCTGATGGATGGATGCGAAGAGACCAACTCTCATGTTGGTTGCGCATTCATGCTGCGTAGCACTGCTGGTCAAATAAACTGCCATTGGAAGTAGATAAAATAATCGTGCATAAATAGCCTACAGTATGCGCTCTTCAACTTCTCTGTTCTCCCTCATCTTACAGTGAACTGCCAGCTTCACGCCCAAGATAGACTCAATTGACTGACACGACATTGCAATCATGTCCTTGACAACTCGTACTCGTCAGAATGAGGCTGATGATTCAGATGCGTCTGAAGTTCAGGTATGTCCGCATCCCATCTCACAGCAAGGGGCCACCTCTAACCTCGCCTTCTAGGTCATGGACAAGCCAACCGAATACAAAGGCTTCATCGACATTTCCCAGTACCACAAGTACGGCTCCAGCAGCCGTCGCGTAGAGCTCATGCCAACCGAGGAATTTGTCCCCGAAAAGCCCAAAAAAAGCACCACCCACAAGAACAGCAATGCCCACGACTACAAAGATCATGCCCTCGTGTTGCGCCGTGTTTGGGAGCAGTACATGAGGGTACCGAGGCTAGTCAGTGTCGACCTGGAGATTCACTCGAAGAGACTCTGCCAAGCCTACAGGGAGATTGCCGCCGACTGCTACGATGACCTGGATCTGACCACGTACCCGATCAAGATGAAGACGCCGTTCAGGTCTCTCTTCTTCCATCGCAACGCTGTTAAGGCTCTCGCCTTGGATGAGACCATCGACCCGGAACTCGGTCGTGACGTCCAAGTACTGAACGATTTTATCGAGAACAACGGCCTCTTGTCAAGCATCATACACGACTACAACAAGTTTGCCCCCGAGGGAAAGATCCCCAACGAAATTCTCTGGACCGTCTTTCGCCCCAACGGCCTCGTCGTCCTCACCTTGGACGGCGTCAGGGAATGCTGGATCTGCCGCGAGGTTCGCATTCGCCAGATACATGGCAGCTACAGCTGGATCATGGCCGGCTTACGAGTCGGGTATAATGGCCGCAAGCCCAACCTCGAAATGAAGACCTATTTCTTCCCTCCCTCTGGCCAGAAACTCTGCAACATTGCAGACCTGCCTGCTGTGCCAATTGAGTACTGCCAGGACTGGCCTGAGGTCAAGGAGACGCTCGTCAAGAGGTCGTGTAGTCTTCAGAAGATCCTTGGTCCCAAGTTCGACTCCTTTTCGCCCCAGATGTACACCGGTCCTGCATGGGAACAGGGATATCTCTCTTTCAACGCCCTCCCTGACTCAGCGCTGTCTGATTGCCAGCTCGACGAGCGCGTCATGGTCGACTTCAAAGGCATGCGCAAGCACAGTGCACAGCCTCCGCAGCCCTTTGACGAAATGCAACGTCTCAAGCGAAGACAGGACAAGACGAAGCCAAAGGAAGCGCCAAGGGGTATGCTCTTACTTGACCTACCTGAGCCACCCAGGCATATTGCACCCCCCAGCAACGTACCAATGCCTCCAATGCAACCAGGACCAGTCTATCCTCCTGCTCCGGCACCTTCGGTATATCATCATTATTACACGCCTCGTTACGCGCCTCAGCCGAGACACAGACCTCACAAAGGACCAGGACATGTCGCTCACTCTTCCGATTCGTCCGAATCGGACGATTGGGAGCTCGCAGAATACGACCCGCCGCGCTTCGACTCCAACGACAACGCGGACATTATGGAGTTCAAGACGTACGGCAACTCAGAAGACGTCAAAGACGTCGGCGACAACCACGAAGATGACCTCGTTTCTCTTTGCAGGCTGGCCGAGGAGTGCTACAACATCTCTCCGGAGGAGTTCCAGCTGCTGTTTCCAGCCCTCGTCCCAGCGTTTGGGATGAAGGACAAGGAGTGGCGGTGGGTACTCAGCGATGAACTGAAAGACATCCAGTGGAACACGGCCGCCTTTGAGGCCCTGCAGCTCGAGGGCGGCACCAAGAATCTCATCCAGGCGTTGGTCAAGGGCCACAAGAGCAAGGCTTCCTTTGACGACGTTGTGCCTGGAAAAGGCCAAGGGCTGGTCTTTCTCCTGCACGGGTAGGCGTCAACCCCTTACATCGTCTCTCGCAGATGGCTAACCACCATGTAACAGGAAACCAGGGTTGGGAAAGACACTCACAGCTGGTAGGCATTTTCATCCTCGCAGGCAGCTGATGTGCAATACTGATCATGGCTCCAGAGAGTGTGGCCGACTATCTCGAGCGACCATTGTATACGATTGACGGCGGAGAGCTGAGCACCAAGGCTGCGAAGCTCGAAGATGATCTGGAAGACATCTTTGCTCTCACGCGACGATGGGACGCTGTCATGCTCCTCGACGAGGCCGACGTGCTCCTTTGCAAGCGAAAGTCGTCCGAGATGGACCGGAATGCTGTTGTTGCCGGTACGTGCACTCCCCTTTCCACAAGACTACGCGGCTAACCTAGTTGCAGTGTTCCTGAGAAAGATTGAGTACCTCCAAGGCGTCCTCTTCTTGACGACCAACCGCAGGCAGGACTTTGACGATGCGTTCAAGAGTCGCATTCACCTCACCGTCTCGTACCCCGACCTGTCCGAAGCGGCTCAGTCGGCCATTTGGAAGCGGCTGGTTTCGACCAACAAGAACATCCAAGTTGATAACTTGTGGGTTGACGAAGCCTTTGCTGCTCTTGGAAAGCTCGGATTGAACGTAAGTCAGCTCTAGCATAGGAACTACGGGACACTCACTAATACCGCACAGGGTCGAACTATCAGGAACTTCCTTCGAACTGCCGTGTCGTATGCTCACTCGAGAGACGAAGCGCTGGGTGTCCGTCATGTACTCGAGATTATCCAGACGGAACTGAAGGGCGAGGGCTTCAACGTGTTTAGCCTCACAGCAGAGGAACATGCTGGGTTGGCCAAGACTCACGAGGCACTGAGCGAGTTGCAGCATCTTGTCAATGCCTCTGAGCCTCACTTCAGGTATCACGGTCTTGAACATTGAAGAGATTGTGCTACATAGGTAGACCAGATTAATGGAACAAAAAGAAGAGTGGGATGCAAAAAACGCGAATGATTTGGCGTTATCGTTCTTTGGATACCTCTGCTCATCTAAAAGTAAGGTATCCAATTCTATTGCCTTGTGTTGTTGCCGTTCACCTTTTTGGCTGCTTGTGGAATTTTACGACCATTGGCACGTCCGGACGATTGCTTTGATGGGTCCATGCTTTCCCAGCTGTATAGTGCCTTCCCCCTCGGTCAACCGTCATCAAACAAGGCCGTTTGGTGGAGTGGTCTAACACGTACGACTCAAGATTAGTCTTGATTCTGTAAAAGGATTTCGTATCTCGCAAGAGGCCTGGGTTCGAATCCCAGAGCGGTCAATCTTTTTGTAACTCACTGCAACACCTCTACTGCTTCTGGCATTGTCCAATTCTATTCTTTTATCTTGTTGTCCATCTTTTTGGCTGGTTGTGCAATTTTTAGAGGCATTGACACTTTCGAAGAGATCCGACGTGAAAGGTGGGGGAGCACGGACGTGGATGCTTGCCCCACATAATCCGGTCGGAGATCAGGCCGGGTTGTCATCTTGGTTCATCCAAGGCAGAACCGAAGTCATTCATCCGAAATAAAACCAACAAACATGTTTCAAAGTGCAAAAGCAGTGATCAAATTTTTTTTAGAAGAGAAAAAGGCATTTGAGTCACTTACAGCTTCTGTAGGTAGGTACTTGAAGAGCGATCTCATGTGTCTCCGTAGCGGTGCCCCTTCCGCCACAACACCACAAGCACCTCAGGCAGAGATGTTGATGAGGAAGAGGCTGAGATGGCAAGACCCTCGACGTACCAAAGTACATGAATCGAATTGCTAGCACTGGTTTCCATCAGGGCTTCCAGAGACGGATGGCTGAGCGGTTGAGTGCTCTGCACGAACACGATGCTGACGATCAACGAGTCGAACAATCCTACATCAGCTGCACGATACTACACTACCTACCTAGGTACCCTGCAGTGGCTGTCTTTTTCTTTGTCCTTTTTGGTTTTTAAAATAGCGAAACACACACCTCTTACTCGTTTCGTTTCGTTCTTCGTACTGCTCAGGGACCCGGTCGACTGCATCGCCATCCGATAAAAACTCGCATAGAACAAGCTTACGTTCTTCAATTTCTTCTGCATTTTCATACAGTAGTATCACTAGTACAGTAGCCCAGCTTCACATCAAAGACCACTCTAACTTTACGGGTCTGTCAAGATGAACGCTCTCCAAGAGAATTCATTTGCGCAGCCCAACCTCAACCGACCGGCTCACTTCGTAGATAATGGTTTGTATCAGGCTTGAAATTCATGTAGCGTTTACGATATTGCATTCGCAAACCCACGAGCTCGCCTGGTATTCATCGGAGGCTACACATACGCCCGGCTTGCCGTTTGACCAAACAATAAGCGACCCATCATTGACCTCTTTGCGTGACGGGATGTTGGCTGATTCTTCTATTTGGCTGTGCCGTGGACCTAACATCATTTCACAATAGGTCCTGTTTCAGACGATCATGGGAAGGCAATCATGAATAATGAGGCGCCAATTGAGAGGCCTTCCGTGCGATAACAATGGTGCATATATCTCTCGATGATCTAGACTCCTGCCTCTGCGCATAGCTCTCAGTTAGTGAGTGTTTACTCTATCAAGTGACGCTGTTCGCCTGTTGCCAGCTGTTCGCCAGCTCAAGTTTGCCAGCCAGAGTCTAACAGTGAATCATCCTCTCATAAGTAAGAGTTTGACAGTGAATCACCCTCTCATAAGTAAGAACTGCTGCATCACCCCCCGAACTCCGCCTCTCCTCATTTCTTCCTTCATCATCACCTTCGCTTTCCTACATTCCTCCAAGGCAAGCTTCTATCACACAGTCACATCGCGTTATCATGGCCTCACCTGCTCCCGCAGCCGCAAGTCCCCCTCCCATCAGAGGTTGGGCCTGCGTCGTGCTGGAGTCATGGGACCCCCGATCACCCAATGTCAGCCTTCCGCAGGGACTCACACCCGGGCTGAGTGTCCAGAAGGACGATCAGGTTTGGGCCTTCAAGGTCAACAGTGGATACGCCTACATCCATCTCTCTCGTGGCCAATTACGCCAGCGAGGTATGTCATGTTGAATCATTTACGCTTGGGGAATTCCTAACTTGAATATGCAGGATGGGTTCCTTGCACAATCCTGAACAAGGGAAATCAACGCGTCGACCCTCTGCCCATCGAACTCATGTCGCAAACGCAGCCCCCCGTACATGATGCGTCCTTGACCAACCCATCTGAGAACACCTTGCAAGAGACTCTTCGTTGCCTTTGGCAGACCATCATCAACGAGCAATCTCTCATCACCGAGGCCATCCCTGGAATGTCGGACACAGCCAAGAACATTCTATTCCACAGCTCGGCGGCCTCGTACGCCGATGCCGTTTACAATTGTACGTCTATTACCTTCAATCATGTCTTCAATCATATTCTAACTCTTAGCCCTTCAGGCATTATACCCCAAGCTCGTACCATTATGGCCAATGGATCATTCACACCCGAAGATCTGAGAACTCTACCGCAAATCAGAGACGGGTATCCCAGGCATGCTGGGATTTACCTGATCATCTATGGCGAATTCGGTGGTCGAAACGCCGGTCCTCGAACGTTTCACACGGCTGTATATGTTGGTCAGACCATCAACTTTCAGCAACGCCAAAGGGATCACAAGAGTCCTGCTCACCGCGACAGACACACTTCTCACTATCGCCTTGCCAGCAAAGCTAAGCAAATGCTAATGGTGCCTATTCTTCTGGAAACTTCCAACCAAATTCCAAGTCACTTTCTGGATATTGCTGAGTTTTCCATGGTGTGTCTCTTCAAGGCCTGGTATCCTGGCCTATTCGCACCATCTAACGCAAATGTGATGGGAGCCTATGCGACCGACTTCGACTCATGCACAACGTTTTCTCAAATAATTGAACGGGTTTCCGATCGAACAGGGTGGGCTCCAACTCCAGCTTATGGCTTGAACTGGATTACTCCGATCCTCCGGCTCCACGCTGCAGTTCAACCATGGACTTCATTGTATGACCAGGACAAGGAGATGTTTGTTTTCCGAACTCGACGAAGCATTTCAGTGAGAGAAAACGAAGCCCATGTAACCTGGAATGGACAGGAGAAGATCCGAATCCCCATTGAACTCGCACGTTATGCGGCACTTCGACACCAGCAGACAATCCATCTTGTGGTTGAGCTACACAAGCGTGGTAGCGAGTACCTCACCCACCCATTCCGCTATGTCCGTCTGCCACCGAGCATTGGCCAGAACTCAGAGCTAGAAAAGCTCAAAGCAGTTGCTCTCAAGATACAGTGGCTGTCCAACGGAACCATGGAGTGGCAAGAGGCCTACATTGAGCGATCGAAGATTTGGCCACACATCAACCGCCAGACTCCTGTCCTGCAATACTACCAGACAGGGCTCATGATACTCTGCGACATCGAGAAGATCAGCTACTCCGGAGGTCCCGACTGGCTTCCCCGTCTGCACCCAGGAAAAGTCTACTTCTTGCGGTATGACCACCTTGGTCAAAAGTATGTCGTTGAGATCGTTCAGAAGCAAGTCATTCCATGGCCGCGGGATCACACAATGCAAGAGAACACGCAGAGACTCACCCAGATGTTCCCCCAAATCTTGAACGCCGACACTATCATCGGACCACGGCCTGCCGCTGATTTCTTTATTGACACCCGATATGCCTGCGACATGTGCTATTCTCAGCGTACTGTAAGTGGTCCCCTTCTGTTCTAAGCACAACTACTGACAGGTTCAACAGACAACACCATGCAAGTACAGCCCTAATGACCATTCATGCCAGTGCTGTAGGCCCCTAAACCGTCCATGCACTTGGTCAAGAGGTAGTCAGGGCTTAGAGGATTTTGTTCAAGGCGGCCCCCTCGAGGAGCTTGGTATCGCTGTGCCTCTCACCAGAAATGTTGGTCCGCAGATTTTCGTAATGGCAATCCCCCCCTTCGATACGAATCTCGAGAATGAAGAGCATGGACAACTGGAGATTGAGTGAGATGGAAGCTCTGCTTCTCGAAGCAGATTTGTTGACTGAGCACGAGGAGCGTTGCAGCCTCTACTTCGCGGAAGGGACTATAGTATAGGCAATGGGGCTCCCGCAAAGCGCGACTACACTATGGATGAAGCACAAGGATCATACATACAGTAACTAGCTTGCTCTTCAGTGTTTATTATTCGTTTAACATGCCGCCTTACATGCCCTTTTCATAGTTGATGTTTATGCCAATGAGCTATTAATTTCGTTCTACTGATCACTGACTGCATGCTCTTAAGTCTGCTAATGAGGCAAAGCTGATTTGAAGAAAATGCTCCTTTAGCTGTCTCCGTCAATAGTTTCCTTGAACAGCCTCCTTCAACGGCCTCCGTCAACAGCGTCCGTTGACAGCGCAGAGCAACGGTCAGAGCAGCCTCCTCCAACAGCCTCTTTAGCTTTGCCGCTACCCAGGACGCAGACTTGAGTCAGTAGCATCCCCAGCTATTTTCGTAAGGCATTGCAGAACCCAATGCAATAGGTTGGCATTGCACCATGCATATATGTCCATAGACTCCAAGAGTAGCTTTTCAGTGTCAGTTGCCATGCACCTTCCCCTACCAGCTCTTTTAGCCTCTGAGTGAACCAACTGTAGGTTCAAGACGAATGATCAGTTTTTCAACTACGCCCCTCCTGGTAGATGATTATTTAGTCGGACTGTTAATTGTATCGCATTATCTCTCTTCAAGTATATTCAATTAGCGTTTCTCTTTCTTATGATCTCAATGGGTTTGTTCTCCGCGCGACAGCTCTCGTACTTTCCGCCCTCGACTGGTCGTTCCTTCCCAATGTTCAGACACTCCTCCATCAACAGTCCATTCCTTCCTTCCCAGCCCGCTCCTTCCATGTACTGCAGCCATGGGTTCCCCAAGGGATCTTGTCATGAAAATTTCGTTTCTGTTCCATGGTTCTTGATCTTCATCATATTCACCAAGATGCCTCCCCGCCTTCCCAACCTCGACAGACTTTTGGCCCTCCTGGAAGAGTATCTGACCCCTTTGGGGTCAGGCCTTCCAGGAGGGCTCGCGACCGAAAAAGAGTTGGCCTTTGCCGGCAAGGACTCTCCGACGAAAGGGGAGTTGATCGCCCCTGGCCCCTGGCCACCCTCCCCCCCGTCTTCTTAGACGGTTGTGTGTTGTGTTATCTATATATTTTTTTGGTTAGGCTTCGCCTCTACTTTGATTCTCCCTTTGGGAGATATGCGGTGGATGTGCCACTCAGCAGTATCAAGGTAAGATACATACCCCGTTACAGATGCT